TGAGAGACAAAATGGGAAAAAAAATCCAGAAAATCACATTGTCTGATTTTTAAAGAATTTATTTGCAAATCATGCACATATGGGGAGAATAAGAGTCTATGCCAAACAGAATCAACTACCACTAAAATTCCTTGATCAGGAGAGGCTGGGATCTTTAGAATAAAGTTCTATCCCTGATATGTTCCTCTCCTACCAACAGGAGGAAATCATATGAAAATCATCCCTCTGTCCCTCTTAATTTCAATTTAAGTACAGTTTAAGTACAGTTAATTTGATCATCCTCATTTAATAACTGTCCTATTTTGTCATATTAAAAAGCAAAAGTCATGAGCAACTTTGGAAAAACTCTGGGGGTTGCATAAGGCCCCAAAGTCATTGCACACCCTTGACCAAATCCAATAATGGTCAGCCAGAGCTGTTAAAAAGGCATAGGTAGGAAATTAAAGCAGTTGCCCTTCTCTGCTCCTCCTTCACACCTTTAATCCATAGGTCATGCTAGTTGCAGTTTCTAGAGTTTGTATTCTAATACATCTGGAGAGCACAACTTTTCCCCCAAATCAGTTTAGATATGCAGTTCTCCAACCCAGCAACCATAGCTTGCTCCAGATAAACAAATTACATTTGTGAAACTGAGAACAGTTTTACAATTATAAGTGCAGTCCATTCTTCAAAGAAAAGGATGTTTCAAGGAAAAAACTTGTCAGGCTTTATTATATTATGTAGTGCATTATTCACAAAGTATTGGTTTTACAAAGGATGAGAGAATGGCCTGATATTTTTTCACACACTAATGCTGTTTTTGTTGCATGCAGGTCTGTTCCACTGGGAACTGCATTTAACATAACTCCTGTTTAATACAGACACAAAGCCACTGGAAAAGATAGGCTGATGATACCTACTGTACATCTTAATCCTAGACTAAACACAAAATGTGATCAAGTTGATAGCTGGAGGGTGTATGGATCTGGAAGGAGGCTCAAAGAGTACAGACTCAGGCTCATTCCCAGTAAGATAGAGTATATGTCAGTTTGCAAGCCATCTTGAGACCAGTGATTCTGGACAAGGTCATATTTCCCCAGACTAAGCTGGTTTGCAGTCTGGGAGTCCCCCTGGAGCAGGTGACAGCTGTGGCTAAGACAGGCTTTGCACAACGTCATCTTGTGTACCAGATTTATTTTATTTTATTTATCTCAAACACATGACTCTGGGCAGCTAACAATGTTAAAACAGATAAAAAAAATATACAAATACAAATCAGTTACAGCCATTCCTGGATCAGGAGGCTTCGCTCACGGTCACTCATGCTATGGTCACCTCATGATCGGTCTGTTGCAATATGCTGTACTTGGGGCTGCCCTGAAAGACCATCTGAAAGGTACAGCTCTGGGCAAGCTCACAGTATTAAAAATGAAGAAAAGACAACATTATATAAGAAAAGACAATCATCATCTGAGGGAAGAGGTTTTTTTTTTTTTTGGTAAACAAACTCCCATGTCACCTTGAATAGTTACAGGCAATTCAGAGTTTGTCTGGAGAACATCACTACTATGATAATTGCTCTGGTTGCTAATTGGCTTCTGGATGCAATACAAAGTATTAGTTGTCACCTTGAAGCCCTATTTGGCTCGGAAACTGGATATCTGCAGGATCGCTTTCCCCCAGAAATCTTATAGGGAGGGCACCTTCAAGTCCCATCCTTGAAGGACTGATATCATCAGGGACCATGAAGAAATGACCTTCCTATTGCCGCTCTCTCCTTGGACCAATGCTGCACCTAAGGTCAGATCAGCACCAGCCCTGTTGGTACTAAGGGAAGCCACCAAGACCTTGCTGTTCCAGAAAGCATTTGGGAATTGATAGCACGGTGCATTCTCATCTTACTGTTGGTGACTGGTGCTATTTATGTTTGTTTTTTCCTTAGTGTGATTATAAAGATTTTGTGGTTGTTTGAATTTTGTTACAATGTCTTATGGTTTTTATTCTTTTATTGCTTTTATTTAACCCTTTGTATTATTTGTAAACCACTTAGAGCCTTTGGGGGGATTAAGCATCATAGACATTGATAAATAAATGCATATTTTCAACACTTCCAGAAACCTTTTCATAATTACAATGCCCAAGACTAGTACCTGGAGTCCTAAACCTTCGTATTTCATTTTCTAACTGCTGATCTTTGAATTTTGAATTCCAGCATTGCATAGCTACCTTCTCACTGACCATTCTTCTAAATAAACAAATAAATAAATAAAATAAATGAATTAGTAAATTCATTCATTTTGTCCTTCATTCTTGAAAGACATGTCAAAAAAATAATGAACATTCCATGGTTGGAGAAGATGGCCTCCCAAGTCATATTAAGTAAAAAGTTTGAGTCATGCACAACTCCTAGTGAATTCATTGACTTATACATTTAGTTTTCTGGCAGCATTTAGGAAGTGCTTTGCCTTTACTACCTTCTGGGATTTTTTTTTTTTTAATTCACAGTTTAGCCTAAAGTCCTAAGATTTTCTGGTGGTCTCCCATCCAACTGATAAACAGGTGTGTGTTTTTAAAGGGGAGCCAAGGTTAGCTAAAATGAGCCACCGATCCCTCATACCTACACATTTTTGATGATCTGAGAAACTGTAACTAGCTCAATTTTTAAAATGTCTCCATTTATTTTTTTGGAATATATTTTCACACATTATGCATACCTTCTTTTCTGAGTAAGTTGTAGCCTTCCATCACTGCATTTCATGAGAAATATTCCATCAAATCTCAATTATACTTATGAAACTGATATTCCTATGCCAGAAATTCAAGTTTGTCTGATTTCCCATATTATGCACATAAATATAAAAAGAGTAAATCTGCATCAACCTGTGGGTTTTAAACTGTAGCCATACTAAATGCTTAACTTTCATCTCCTTTAAGTACCTCTGCACATCCTTAATTTACACTAGCACATGAAGGCATGTTAGAAGCTGAACTATGCAGAGCTGGGTTTTTCTGTCATAGCTCCACTAAAAAGTTTCTTTGAAAGTTTGCATCAGAGGCTAGGATGCTACAATGTTATGACATCAATGTATGCAAACTGTTATGTTGATATCACTGCAGTTTGCTGTGTCCACTCCTGCTTTGACTTACAGGTAGTCCTTGCTTAACAATCATTCAAAGTTATCATGGCACTGAAAAGTGACTTATGACTGGTGCATGAAGTTATGGCCATTTCAGCACCCCCGTGGTCACATGATCACAATCCAGGAGCTTGGCAACCAACTTGCACTTATGATGGTTGCAGTGTCCCAGGGTCATGTGATTGCCATTTGTGACCTTCCCAGCCGGCTTCCAGCAAGCAAAATCAATGGGGAATTGCATGATTCACTTAACGAATGTGTGATTCATTTAATGACCATGCAATTCACTTAACGACCACAGTGATTCACTTAATGACCACCACAAAAACGTTGTAAAGTTGGGTCCAGTCATGTGATGATTCACTTAATGACTACGTTGCTTAGTGACCTAAATTCCAGTCTCAATTGTGGTCCTTAAGTGAGAACTACCTGCACTATTTCTTATTCCTTTTCTGTGCTTTGTTTCATGGTACTTGACCCCAAAAGAAATAGTATGATGGATACATATGTATGCATATTTTTACAGAATGTTACATCTGCAAAAATCAAAGTCAACTCCATAAAATCTATGACATAAGCCAGCTACTTTGCAATTTTTTAAGAGTCCATTGGAGTCGGGCAGCTAATAAATTCAAATAAATAAATAATACACAACTACTTCAATTTTCAGTTGGCTAATTTAAAGAATATTCACCACTGTACAGTATAGCTATGTGTTACTGAACAATGTTGGTGCATTGATACAAAATATTTAAAATTTAGGGCAACTGAAGAATCACTAAATAAAGAAACCCTGGTCATATAACGTTTTTAAAATACATTTAGCATCCATTTGCAGTTACGATGGTGATGAAAAAGTAACTTTACGACCAATCCTTGCATTTATGACCTTTGCAAGTCTGTAAAGCAAAGGAAAGCTGAAAATCGTAAGCACAGTCACATTTTCACTTAGTGACCACTTTGCTTAACAACTGAGTTGCTGGTCTCAACTGTGGTTGCTAAACAAGGACTTCATGTATATCTTTTTCTTTTGCAGGAAATACAGTGCTAACACCCAGTTAGGATATGTGGAGAGCAGCCCCCTCCCCCAACAGAATCAGTTGTTTTGGTTTGTTTACTTTGTCCCAATGAAATTAGTAGTGTGCATTTAAATTGAAACCTGACCCTACTTACACAGCTCCAGCTCTCTAAGGCTACTTCAAAACTGCAGTGGGGAAACTACATTATAGCATTGGATGGAACTGAAGCCAAAGCTAACCTAGTCCACACGTGGGACTCAGGTTACAATTTCTGCACTCTTAGGCTTGAACGTAACAATTATAAAAAACTGGAGCAAGAAAGCTTCACATATTTAAATATGTAATTAAATAATTTTAAACTACTGTCTCTGTTTTTATCTAAGTTGATTTTATTTTGTCTCAACATGGGAGCTGAAATCCAAACTTCCAATTTGTTCCAAAGAAATCCACACACCGTTTAACCCTAAATGCTTCAGTGAAAGATTTTGGGAGGATTAGAAGTAGCTATGCAACAGCACCTTTGTAAAATTATCTCAGAGAGATATCATCTTACCTTCAGGCCAAAATATGAAAAGGTGAGATCAATTTCTCATATTTTGCCAGAAGATAAGATGGTATCCCTTTGAAGCCATTTTAAAGGGTGCCATGGCATAACTACTTCCAATCCTTCTAAAATCTTTCACTGAAGCATTCAGGGTCAAACAATGTGTATATATCATTGACAACTTAATGCCAACTTAAAAAATACAAATAATACAATTCATTAATGACATCAACCCAAAACCTTACCTGCAATTACCATCACAGAAAATCTCAAGAAAAAAAAATCAAATTACTGAGCCTGATAAATCATTTTTAACATAATCAAAATAGTTAAATATGCTGTTCTGAACAGCCTTTTTCAACCTGCTACCCTTGAGAAGTACTTGATTTTATTCTTATCTAATTGCAACTGGTTGGCAATTATGATAATTGAAAACGGAATCAAGTTAGTTTTAAGCACAAGAATGATAAAATTATGTTGGCAAATAGTAATTTTGTTTCAGTTGTTTTCTAAATTTCAATCTATACAAAGTAGCAGCCCTAGCCTCAGGAAATGTTTCATACAGAACTTTTGGATTAAGGGCTGAGCAGGCAAACAATATCATGTAAGCACTTGATTTTGATAATCCTCAAATTCTTCTTTTACATGTCATTACTGATTCCATTCTTAAATTACTTGGCTTATACAGAGTATGAAGAATGCACCGCTACGTATGTGAAGAGTGCATTTTTTTTTTTTTTTTGCAAAAGAAAGTACTTCCCTTCTAAAGTACTCTCACCCCCCCCCCCAGGTAGGATTAGAAGTAATGTTTCTAGGTGAAAAAAGCATAGTATATTCTGATATACAAGGTATAAAGCCTGATTCCTTGTCTTCTATAACATCTGCCTGGCTGATTCTGCATGGATGGTGCACACCAGGTTCCTTCAATTAAAAAATGTTATCTCTCAGGACCCTGAAAGTGTGCTGTTTCTGTGGCAGTGCCTTTCCTCTGGAATGAGGTTCCCCTCAAGATCCAGATGGCTCCGCTCTGCTTTTGTCTAGAAGAACCGTGAAGACCTACCTCTTCACCCAAGCCTTTGGCAAGGGACAGTGTTTCACTCTCAGTGACACTCTCCCTTGCTTCACTGCGTTTGTCATTGGTTATTTTTACATTTTATTGATACTGTAATTTGATTGTTGTGAGCCACCCAGAGTCATTGAGTGGCATACAAGTTGAGTTGTTTAGAGTTGGGCAGCATACAAGGGTAATAATTTAATATTCATATAACATTATGGCACTGTTTGCTTAACTTTCTCGAATGATTACACTTACGGGGGTTCACACTAGGGCTACTATATCTGGGCTGCAAAGAGTCTACAGTTTTCCTTCTCTCTTTGCTGCCATCTCATGCTTGTCCGCATCTTTGGAGCCCACGTATATCCCTCGTTCACACAACCCACTAACTCAGAAAGAAGCAAACCCACGTGGTGGCTCGGCGTGTTGTAAGAATCCAGACAAGCTCCTCCCCACTTGATCCGCTTTCTTAATATGCCGCTGTTCTAAAGTACGCTGTCCCAGGATGAGGTGACTTGCCCGTTTCAGGGTCCAAGGTATTTCCATGTGACTCCAAGAGGCGCAACCCCGCGCGACCCAGCAAGGCTTCCATCCGAGTAAATGGGCTTAGAAAGGCAGCGCTGGCCGCTTGCTCACATCATATGGAAGGCAAGTCCTTCCTCTCCTCGCCTCACCTCACCTGCTCAGAGGGCAATTCCAGCGCGTGCTGCTGCTGCTGCTGCTGCTGCTGCTGCCTCACCGGTGCCCCGGACCGACAGCTCCTGCTCGGCTGGACTTGGAAGGCCCCTCGCAGGAGCAAACTCCGGCACTCGCGCTGAACGACCCTGAGAGCTGACACGGTTGCCATGGCCCTCAACTAAGCTGAACCGCTTTCTGACAACCAGCCCGGCGCGGGCCACAAGCACAAGTAGCGGGCTGGAGTCACGGGAGTCGAGAGGGTGGGGAGCCAGCCACCAATACCGATCGAGGAGTCCGCTTGGCACGCCGGGATTTGTATTCGGCTGAGGCCTCTGCGCGACTCCTTGCGTAATTTTCGGGTTGCGTTCCCGGCTGCCTGTGAACACTTGCGCAATCCGCGTGAGTTCTATCGCACCTGAGACCAGAGATAGCGAACAGCTGCAGGCTTTGTGTGTGTCGGGCTGTTTTCTCAGGCAGCAGCTATCCGAAACAAAAGAAGAGGAGGAAGGGGGGGGGGCGTGTATCGCCCTCAGTTTTGCAAGTACATGTTTGTCAGCCACCGGAACGAACCTCTGCTGAACGTCAAAGGATTCCGAGCCTTTCAGATATCAGGACCGCTAACCAGGCTTAGGTTTGTTAGCATTCTTAAGCCCGACGTCTGTTTCGAAAAGGCGAGGGAGGGTAGCGTTAGCCAAGCAATCTTGCCACCGCCAGCGTCGCGTAAGTTGTAACACCAACCCTCGTGCGGTTAAAGTTCATGCGGGCTGGTGTTGCTGGCGTGGAAGCCAAACTTCTCCGGGAAGAGAGCCAGCAGCAAATACTTCGCTCGCTTCTGGGCCTGGCTAACCCTTGCGGCTGAGTCCAGCGTAGGTGGGCATAAAGGAGCAAGAGGCGCAGGGTAACTGGGGTGAAGCTGGTGATATGTTTACACTCTCCTCCCGCTCTGCCTCTCTCGCCGGAGTCGGCTCCGCGGTGCTGGAGGGGCAGATGCGAGAAAGCCGTCTTCTTCCTGCAGGGTGTCGTGCGTGGCGACAGCTCTCCCCAACCTGCTATCTCCAGTCGTTCCCTGATGGCTGAGAATGGGGGGAGCTGTACTTCAACGGATTTGAATGAGACGAGAGTGGGGTAGCTAATTGCCACTAAAAGAGTTAAAATTGTAACTCCTTAGCAGAAAGGGAGCGGGGTGGGGGGGAATAGCAAGAAAACCGTAAGTTTGTGGAGGGGTTGGCTACACGGAATTGGAAATGTTGGTGTGGATAAAGAAGAGACAGAAGCAGGATCAGCTCTGGTTGAATCAAATGTTTAACAGTTCCTGCAAAGGAAAAGGCAGTGGTGGGAATTAAGTCAAAACAGAGTCATTGTTTATAAATCAGCTTATATTTTTTGCTAAGTGCATATGAGTTGCTCTCTTCAGTTTATATTGATCTGCTCTTATTCCTTGGGCATTAAAGCAGTATTTTTTTTAAATGCTTATTTAGGATGAGTCTCTCTGGAAGCACTGGCAATGCTTCAGGCTTTGCGATCCATTGCCTGGCCCTTCTGGATTTACCATCATCATCTCAAACCAGAAAAGGAAAACAAAGGAATTTCCTCTCCTGCCTTGAGAGGAGAGACCCCCACATTAAATCATGATGCTGTTATGCTAGGAAGCCTCCCCTGTATTCTTGGCATCTGTCTGCAGAAAGGGCTGGAAGTGCCATGCAATGATAAATCTGATGTGATTCACTGACTTTCATTCAGGGGATTTGTTTTCCCTGCAGAATTTGGAGAATAATTTCCAAATGGTGTTGCTGTTTCCTATGTGCACACACATATGCTGATAATAAACGATTGGTATTGTGCAGTGTAATTTTGTGCCTAACTATTCATTTACACTTGATTAGGTATAAGAAGACTGTAACCTAAGGCAGATTTCTTTCTTTCCCATGTGTTGATGTTCAAGGATGTTTGCTGAGCAGGTATAAAAGGGAATTCAAATACATTCTTTATGAAGTGAGAAGTAAAAAGATTCAGGTTGCAGCAGAACAGGTTTATACGGAGCATCACAAAAAGCATGGCAGCTAGTCAAGGACATTATAAAACTGGAAATGCTGCAAAGAAATGATGTAGTTTGGTGCAAAACCTAATCTGATTATTCATGATTAGTAATTTAGATACTATTGGATTTAACTTTTAAACTTTAATTCAGATAGTAATGTATTTAACCGTTAACTTTTGAAGATTGTCAAAGGAGTTTGTCTATAATTGAACCAGAAGGCAAAAATACAGCTAATGGATGAAAATGGTATGGAAGTAGATTTCAGCTAAAAATTAAAGAATACCTTCTAAATGCAGGCATTGGCTTTTCTTTGATAGCAATAATTAAGCAAAAGCTGGAAAGGCTTTTGTTAAGAATGAAGTTACATCTGACATTCTGCATGTAACTGAAAGGGATCCAAAATACATCTTTCTAGTCTCCAACCTTCCTTTCATAGAAAACATTTTGGAGAAAGCCAGACTACAGCTGCAGAGGATTTCAGAAGAAATTGATTTCCTGCATCACTGGGAGTCAGAATATGGGATAGAAAGTACATTGGTCACTTATGGATGACCCTCATGAGATGGTTAGATAGCATCACTGAAGCAATGAGCATGAAATTGAGCAAACTCAGGGAGGTGGTGAAGGACAAGAAGGCCTGGCGTGATATGGTCCATGGGGTCACGAAGAGTCAGATACAGCTTAATGACTGAACAACATTAGAACCCAAAGGGCTGTCCTGGTCATTTTAGATTTCAGTGGCACTTGGTACTATTGACCATGGTATTCTTCTCGACCAGTGTTTTTCAAACTTGGCAACTTTAAAATGGGTGGACTTCAGCTCTCAGAATTCCCCAGCCAGCATGCTGGCTGGGAAATTCTGGGAATTGAAGCCCACACATCTTGAAGCTGGCAAGTTTGAAAAACATTGATCTAACCCTTTATAGATTTTTTGGCTGAAAACGGATAAAAATGAACTGCTGATTTTGGGATTTATTGATTAAAAAGGTTTGTTTATGGGAAGAAGGGAACTTTGATATGCAATATGGGAGGGTGAAGATCGTAACTGCTATGTTTGTAACTGCTGCAAAGAAGATCAGAAGTCACTTCTTTAGATATCTTTGTCTTGCTTTTTTGTTATTCACCTTTTCTTTTACCCTTTCACAATCTTTTTCTGTTTCTATTTTTTCTGTGTTTCTGTAGTTTTTAAAGTCTTTGCAAAGACTTTTTCTTTTCTTCTTCTTTTAATAAAAACTATTAAAAGGAAAAAGGAAAACTTTGGTTGAGACTGCCTGGGGAGATGCTGTGGTTGCAGGGGTTCCACTCTTTCCTGAGTTGGTGGTTTCATCTGGTACTACTGGGGGAGGAATGTTTGGCCCCACCTCTGCATTCTAGGATGCTCCAGGGCTTGGCACTCTCCCCAGTGTTATTTAGCATCTATGTGGTGCCACTGAGGTAAACCACCCACCGGTTCAGGGTGAGATTTCATCGATATGTAGGTACTTATCCCCAGGCCAGGCAGGAGATGCAGCGGTAACCTTGTCTCACATCTGGAGGCTGTCAGAATCCAGATGGGAAGTAGCAGGTTGAAACTGAATCCCAGCAAGCTTGAGTTAATATTTTTCCAGAACCCTTTAGGTTCTCTGGGTGAGATTGCACTCTCCTTGAAGAAGCAGAACCACATCTGAAAGTCATAATGGATCCACAGCTACTGCTGTAGCAGTAATGGAATATATGGCTGGGGGTGAGTGGAATTTTGCCCAGCTTCAGCTGCTGTGACAGCTGCAGCCATAGCAATGGTAACTCCTGTCATTATTCCCAACTAGATTACTGACATGTGCTCTACTTGGCCCTGTCTTTGAAGATAACTTGGAAATTAGTCAATTAGCAAAATGCAGCACGTGTTGGTGGTTGAGAGCTGTTGCAATAGTGTAACGCACCCAATACAGCAGGTGCTGCATTAACTACCAGTATGTTTCTAGATACAGTTAGAAGTGCTAGTTGTTACCTATATGGCTTGAGCTAAGGTTTCCCAAGGGATAGCTTTCTCCAGAGAGAATCTGATTGCTTGATCAGCCCAGGAATGGATACTCTGGGTTCTCCCTCCCCCTGTTGCCAGATCAAGGGGAGCTTGGCACAGAATACACTGAAATTTGTAGGGCCCCACACTCTTGTCATTCTGTAAGACTATTGAGACTTGGCTTTTTGATAAAACATTTAGCATAAAGAAATGCAGCATCATTTTACTTGTTATAGGTTGTTATGAGTTTTTTAATGCTATATTTATAGAGCTGTTTTTATTATTTTATCGTATTTATGTAAACTCCCTGTAGTCTTGGGGGTGAGTAGGTTATAAATTTTAGAAAATATATAAAATTTAAACTATCTAAAATAACTAAAATATCAGAAAGTTTACATTATAGACTTGAACAATGGATACAACAAATGTTCGAGCTTCCAGACTACATCTTCAGTATTTACCCTTTGCCTACTAAGATACCTCTCCCCACATACTCATTTTAGCCTTTTGGGGCCCCAGGAAAGACCTTGGATAAGTTTTCATTTGGCTGCTGTTTTTTACCTTTGCACTTCTGTCCGAAACATCACAAAAGGTTCCATTCTGTGGCAGTGTTGGAAGAGCCTGTGATTATATAATGTTTAAAAGCAGCAAAATGAAAATTTGTAAGAATGCTGGCTAGGGAATTCTGGGAGTTGAAGTCCATACATCTTCAAGTTGCCAATGTTGAGAAACACTCCTCAGACCATCCCAGAGAAATAGCTGTCCAACCTTTGTTTGAAAACCTCCAGTGATGGAGCATCAGTGACTCCAGGAGGCATCCTGTTCCCCTGCTGAACAGTTCTTATGATCAGGAACTTCTTCCTTATTTGGATCTCTCTCTGTGAAGCTTCCATCCATTGATTCCTGTCCCCCCTTTCCTTGTGACTTGGCCATACACCATTTTATGCACTGCCTTCCTTTAACCTTTTCACCTCTTTTTGAGGATCTGTGGAGAACTGAATAAGAATTTTACTTTTAATTGATTGCACTGCTCTGTGTTTTAGTATACACCATGGTGTTACTTATAGGTAGTCCTTTATTAATGACCATTCATTTAGCAACTGTTCAAATGTATGATGGCGTTGATCAAGACTTATGGCTGGTCCTTGAAGTTGTGGCCATTGTGGTGTCCCAGCAGTCACATGATCGCAATTTGGCTGCTTGGCAACCAGCTTGCAATTACGATGGTTGCAGTGTCCCATGGTCACTTGATCACCATTTGCAACCTTCACTGCCAGCTTCTGACAAGCAAAGTCAATGATGAAGCCAAAAGGAGATCACAAATGGCGATCATGTGACATTGCACCTAACAATCACACAGGATTCACCTAACAACCACAGCTGGAACTGCCAGAACTTCCATTGTAACTTGGCGTGGTCATTGCACTTGGCATGACATTGCATTTTATGACCATATTGCTCAGTGATGGAGTTCTTGGTCCTGGTTACTGTTGTTAACCAAGGATTACCTATAAATGCATTTGGTTGCATTTCTCTGGTAATTCTTTTAAGAAATGAATTTTATAACTCTGCCAATGTGCTGTCAAATATTTAA